CCTGCCAACCCCTGCCATTCTGTGATTCTGTGATTCTGTGATTCTGTGTGATTCTGTGAAATGCTTTGTCCCGTGATGCTACCCCTGAAAAGCGTTGTAGTCCCCGGGATGGTGGCCCTGCGACTGCCAAGCTGGAGGTCCCCCGGTGTCTGGGACACGGGGTAGTGACCAGGATGGATGAGGAGCAAAGCCTTGCTGGCTGTCTCCGTAGGGATCAGAAGAGACAGCAGGATTTGGCCTTTGTTTTAGCCCAAGCTGGGAATCACCCAACTTTACCCCCGCCCCGCTGCATTCCGAGTGACCCAGCCGAAGCCGGAGGCTCGCGGACGGCTCCTTCCTCTCCCCTTTCTCTCCAGAGCTGGGAAAACCTCACCAGCTCACGGCCCCGCAGCGGATCCCGAGCACGGGGCCGAGGGCTGGCAGCCCACCGGGCTCCCTACATCCATCATGGATGGGGAGGGACCGAGCGAGGGAGACAGAGCCAGCCCCGCCATAAACAGTCGCAGGGCGATGCTTTAATGTCCCCGGTGCCGGAGCCAGGCAAGGGACGTGGGGATATCGGAGGAGGGGAGCACTTTTGGGCTCCAGCCCATCCCGTCACGTGCAAACGAGCCGTGCTGGTGTGGGTCCTGGCGCAGGGTTCCCTTTTAACGCCCTCCAAAAGCGAGGGAGTGAGTAAAACCACCGGCATCCTGGGGAAGCTGAGTCAATCGTTTCCTCTTGCTGCCCCACGGTATTTTTAACGGTGCAGTTATCCGGTACCGGGGCGGTTGCTATTTATTCCAGTAACCCCTCAGGGGTGCAAGTAGGTGCCGACCCACCCAGGGACCGGCCTCTGCAGGGGACGAGGTCCTTTCCCCTGGCTTAGGGTCTCCATTGGGATGGAGCCATGGTGGGATGGAGCACACAGAGACCCTGCTCAGGATGCTCGTGGCGATGCTCCCCATCCCGTATCCCGTATCGGTTCTCCCTTGATGCTTTTTTCTGGGGGAGCCGCCAGCAGAGTTGGGATTTGCTGCCTCCCCCCAATCCTTGCGAGGTGAATCTCAGCGTGAATCCTCTTTTATCCCCTAGATATTATTCCCCTCGGCTGGGAATTCATGGGAAACACAAGCAGGAGGGTTGATTTCTCACCTTCCACGGGCTTGCAGGGGGTGATGGAGTAGGTGGAGCAGATCCACGGAGGAGAGGTTGGGATGCACGCTGAGCTGAGGAGCAGAGGAAGGTGCTGGGGACAGGGATGGGCAGAGGAGATGGTGTCTGGTGGGAACAGCTCAGCGTGCCCCGTGGTCCACTGCCAGCTTGAATTGAGGGACTCAGCTTTTGGGAGGTGAGAGGTGGTGTGGGATGTCCCCTGCAGAGTGGCTGGGGGTGCTCAGGGACCTCCTAGCTCCCATGTCCTTACTCACGCCTGCCCCTGCCCTGGAGCACGCCTGCTCCCCCTGCTCCTGCTGCGTTTTTGCAGTTGGAGAAGCAGCTCCTGCTTTGCCCAACAGGGTTGGTGCTCAAAATCCATGGCACCTGCTGCCCTTCGTGTTGCTAACGGAGCAGTAGGTCCTACCATAATACAGCAGGATGGGCAGGCACTTGGCTTGCAGCGTCCTGGGCTCTGTTTTTGCTAACTCCATCCCACCTTTGCTTCCTCCGTAGGTGCCGGCGCCTGCCCGGGCGAAGGTGGCCGTGATCGCCGAGGGCAGAGAGCTCATCCTGGTGTTGGAGAGGAACCAGTAAGTGTCTGGTCTGGGTTGGGGAAGGGGCACTGGGTGTCCCTGGCGTGGTCCCACCTGGCGCAGTAGTATCCTGGCCGCCCTGTCCTGGCTCTCCTGCCCGCAGGGGAAGGGACGGCCCGGTGTGGCTTCCTGCCGGCTGCGGCTGTTGCGACACTTTGGGTTGAAATGTCCCTTTTTTCCACTGCCCACACCCACGTCATGCCAGAAACAGCCTTGGCTCGATGCCACGGTGCAGGACCCGGCACGGATGAAGGCAAAGTGGGGTGCTTAGGGGATGGAGATGTGCTGGGCAGAGGCTCAGCGCGATGAGAGGCTCTTGGCCTGCTGTCCCGCTGGTTGGGCTGATCCTGCCAGGTCTATGGAGGTGTCTCATGGTGGGCAATGCTGACTGCTGGCAGTGGTTTGGAAATCTCTGTGGCTCTTGGGATTGGCAGCCTGGCAGCATTTCTGGGTGACCTTGCCACGTAGCCTCGCTCGAGCCTTTTGGGGCTCCTTTGGTTTGGCTTGGGTGCAGGTGCCAGCAGCATCTGTCCACCGTGACACTCGCCCAGCCTGGCTTCCCCTTGCACCAGGGCTGGAGCAGGGGCAGGAGGGAGAGAAACTGCCTCCATCTTCCACCCTGCTCTCCTTGCCCTGCTCTGAATCACAGAGTCACAGAATGGTCGGGGTTGGCAGGGACCTCTGGGGTCACCCAGCCCAACCCCCTGCCCAAGCAGGGTCACCCAGAGCAGGCTGCACAGCACCGCGGCCAGGCGGGGCTGGAATATCTCCAGAGAAGGAGACTCCACAGCCTCCCTGGGCAGCCTGGGCCAGGGCTCCGTCACCCTCAGAGGGAAGAAGTTCTTCCTCGGGTTCAGCTGGAGCTTCCTCTGCTCCAGTTTGTGCCCGTTGCCCCTTGTCCTGTCGCTGGGCACCACTGAACAGAGTCTG